AGCTGATCTTTCAGCTAGTACTACTGTGGAATATTTTGGTGTTGTATTTTGTTTGGCCAACTAAAGTGCCTCAATAATTACATTTTTTGGTGGTGGCGGGTTTTGGCTGAGCTGCGAGGCATGAGGGATCTTAGTTACCTGAACAGGGATCAAACCTGTGCCCCCTGTAGTGGAAGCACGGAGTCCTAACTACTGGACCCCCAGGGAATTCCCAATAATTAAATGTTTTGATTTAAAAAAAAAAGTGTATGTGAGGAGGAGAGAGGGGCCAAGTGTTGCCACCCTGTAGGGTAGTAAGAATACCCTTTAGTAGTTTGATACTATGTAGTTTTGTTGGAAGAGGGAATGATATTTGGTAATATTTTGTTTGGGTGATTAAGTAGCATTTGCAACTGCAAACCGGTTGAAATACATTAATACATTTTGTCATCTAAAATGACATTAATGTCCTATGCTGCTGGGTCAAAAATTAAACTTTTAAGTATCCTTTTTGACATAAACCCTCAATTCTGCACCATTAGAGCAAATATTGAAAATGCAGAGTTTGGGCTCAAGTGCTTAGCTTCTGACTTCCATTTAACAGCATCTGCTCTGCCTTGCTTTCTGGATGGCTAACTGCACTATCTTAGCTCTGTTTCCTATTTTGTATGCACTACTTTATAACCAAAGTCTTCCCCACTAACTGGCTTTAATTCTTTTCTTGTTATTCTAACATCTCACTTACGGATTTCCCTTTGTATCCTTATCTAAAATATCCTAAATGGCTGGAGGATTGCTGTCCAATTTAAACCACACGTAAGATAGGCATAGACTTGGACCCCAGAGAGCATATCTTACATGGTGGTGGAGATGGGAAAGGATTTAGAGAACTATGAGAGAGAAATACATAGTTATTAAATATAGAAAATGACTGTTGCTTTTTTCCTGCACAATTTTTGTTATTAATTCTGTCAGAGACAGGATGTTTGCTGGATGTACCAGTAGTCTGACCTTAGATGGGCTTGAGATTTTGTTTATATTTTTAAAACCACAAAATTTTAGGTGTGGAGGTGGCTTTATGCTACCATTGGATAATACCCATCAGATTCCCTTTCTTCAATAGGACTTAACTCCATTGTCATTTCTTTCTATGATAACTTCCCCAGACTACCAGTCTCACTGGGTTAGCCCCTCTCCATGCTCCTTTACCGATCTGTCAATCAATCCTCTATCAAGGCATGCATCACACCATATAGCATTTATTCATATGTGTGTTTTCCCCTTTGGACTGTAAGCTATGTGAAGGCAGGAAATGGTATCTTTCACCACATATTTTCCAGGGCCTAGCTTAAAGCCTGGTTTATAGTAGGCACTTAATGAAGATTAGCACCTCCATAGTAACACACAACTCCCAAATCTCAGTGGCTTAAGACGATCTTGGATTGGCAGAGACCCTGCTCTCTATTGCCCTCACTGAGGGAGGTAGGCTAAGGACGCCTCTACAGACTTGGATGCAAGTGAGTCATCTTAGCAGGGGATGGAGATGGTGAATCATGCTCCAGCTCTTGATGTTTCAGCTTGGAACTGACATGTCACTTTCTCTCCTGTTTCATTGATCAAAGCAAGGGACACAGCCACACCTAATGTCATGGGAATGAGGCAGAACAGCATTGCTTTGTTTCTGAAAGGAGAGAACGGGAATAATAGTGAGCAACACTAGTGCCTGTTAAGCCAAAGTCTGGTAGGCACTTAATACCTAGTGCCTACATGGTAGGCACTTAATACCTAGCCAATGAATGAGGAACCTGAAACTACCTGTTAGGATTTTAATTTTTTTCTATACAATAAGCAGAATCACTCCAAGTAATGAAATAATCTAATAACTACATTAAAAACTGAGCATACTAAATATATTATCTAAGTCATATTCAGCAAACATCTGGAGACTTTTTTTTTTTTTTTTTTGCGGTACGCGGGCCTCTCACTGTTGCGGCCTCTCCCGTTGCGGAGCACAGGCTCCGGACGCGCAGGCTCAGCAGCCATGGCTCACGGGCCCAGCCGCTCTGCGGCATGTGGGATCCTCCCAGACCAGGGCACGAACCCGTGTCCCCTGCATCGGCAGGGGGACTCTCAACCACTGCGCCACCAGGGAAGCCCTGGAGACTTTTTTTTGTAACCACTCTGTTCACTTTATTCATATTAGGGAAGGTGTTATGTTTGATTTTGCAGTTTTTCAGATGCATAAAGTATGGAATGGGTAAGTTTGCATGATTGTCATTTTTGCCTGAGTCATTTAGAAGATTTGGGAAAAATGTTGAAGTCTTCAAGTATTTACATATTTAGTCTGATGAAGAAGTTCTTTAAAGTAACCTTTTTCGGAAGAGTTAATATCTGGATCAAAAATTGGGCAAGAGCTTAGGAAAATGAGAGTCTAATGAACTTAAAAGCGAAGGATTGCTGCAGATTGTATGCTAACATTTTACACTATTTTTTTTCTTCATTGTTAAGGTAACCCAAACACATTGTATAAAATGTGGAAAATACAAACTAGTTTGAGAAAGGTGAATTAAAAATCACTGGTGTGATTTCTTTTATTCCATTGTTCTTGTTATAGAATAAGCATATGGACAAGGGAAGAGAAGATATTGGCTTGTAATGGGGGGTAACAGTGGAAGTATCCAGAAGTGATCAGATTGAGACTATGGATTAAGGACAATATTGATAGGATTTGTTGATGGATAAAATGAGGAAGGCGGGAATAGAGAAGTGATAAAGATGGTACAGGATAGAGGATATAGTGATAGAGGGGATCAGTGATGATTCCCCAGATTTTGACTTGAACATCTATGTGTAATCCATGTGTATATGTGGGTGTATATATAAGACTGCACTCATTGTATGTGTGGTTTTTAAAATTTACTTAACATTATATTAATGTATTTTTAATGCTATAAACATACCTTGAAATAAGATTTAAAATGGTTTAATATTCACTCATATGATATGCTATAGCTTTTGATTTTCTCCCTATTTTGGGGGCAATTAAGGTGTTTTTTCCCCTTTAATAAATAACATGGTAATGTTCTCAGGATCCACCTACTTCCTTGTCTCCTCAATTCAAAAATATTTAACTTGAAGGAATTGACCAAGGTTTGCTGGAATTTCAACATAGCAAACCAACATGTGATAGAGTTAGTCGGGAATAGAAGGAACCAAGACTAGAGGTCATCGTGGTTTCAGTCTTCCAAGGGGGCATGGTGAGATATAGCTCAAACCAGACTGGTGTTGCTTTCGAGGTCAGAATTGGTAGTGGCAGACAATTGCTGAGAGGGACATTTGTCTTGGATGCAGAGATGGCACTGTCCCCGAGGAATGAAAGACCTGGCAAAAGCCAGATGGCAGGGCCAGATCCCAGATTCTCTCTAAAGGAGAATCTCAAAAATTTTTTTGAGGTCCACTTCAAAAGATAATCATGCTTTTATCCATCAGGGTAGGGCTTTGTGTTGGAGGATAAGGTACCCAAAGCAGAGCTTCCTGTGGGAAGCTGCAGCTTTGAGGAGTATGAGGACTCAGCCCATCTCTAGGATTTAAGCAGCCAAAATGTTTCTTTGCCCCACTCTCTGGGTAAGAAGCAGTTCCTTATTGGGCTGCCTGCATTTGCCCAGGAAATCTCTGAGGCTGACCAAGCAAGGTGAAGGTCCTCCATCTGTGGCTGGGAGGGAGTGGGAACGGCTGTGATAGACATTGAAAACTTGCGTTCATTGAGTGTCTCACCTGTGGGGCGATGGGAGTCAGGAGGGGCTGGAGATACGATAGAAATACTAGAAAACCCTCTGCCTTAAACTTGTGTCTTGGTCACACATTATGATATTGATTACTAACCATAAGTAATACTGTTTATATATAGTGCAGAGATGCAGTAACCAGTGTTTGAGGTGCCTAAGGAGTTGGAGGACTGTCTTAGCAGTACCTGAGTTCAAATTTATGTTTAAATTGTGTTTTCACTTTGATGATAACTTAAAGAAAATATTTTTATCAGTTTGAAATATAAGGCTTCACATTTACAGTGATAATTTGTGATTAAAAAGATATTTTCTTGGACTAAAACTGCAGTTTCTTAAGTTAATATTGTTCAAACTAGGGTCCAAAACATATTCTTATGGGTACATCCATTAAAAAAATGTTCTTTTCATCGTGGAAAATAGAATCCTAATCTGATCCTGGAAGAATGGGTGGGTTCGGTTGGGTGCAAAAGGAGAAAGGTGTTTCCATGAGAGGAGAGAGTTAGATCAAGGATGATCATGGTGCCTCTGGATGCCTGGGAACTTGAAGGATGCGTCAGTTTCAGGTTTTTAAATACTCCACCCTGACCCTGATATGTCAGGAATATGGGGAACACTCCTTCCTCTACTATTACTTACCTTTCTCTGGTGGATGCAGGAGCTTTATTAAGTCTTTTTGTTGAGAAGGTAACTCTCATAGTCCCCCTTTAAAGAATCATCTTCTAACCCTCATGTTATTGATCAGTGTCTAACACAAAATTTTCTTTCTCTGCCAGAATGTGAATTTAGTTTCTTCAGAACTTAACTTCTGAGCGGTTAATGATTCTTGCAGAGACATCTAAAGGAAGGCCCATTGCAGCATCCCTTTGAGTTTTTGCTAGGTACTCAGGAAGCAGGTGGTCCTCCAGGGACTAGAAAACTAAAGGGACACTGTCTTTTTTAGGTACCAACCTCATCTTGCACTTGTACTTCGTTAGGGATTTGTTCCTCTCAAATTTCATTGATGTCCTCTTGAGTTATTTTTCTTTTGTACAAGAAACATCCCAGATCAGTGGTCTTTATTCATCTTCATTTTTCAGGACAGCTTTTCTAGGTTTATTACTAAAACAGCATTTGTGTTTTTTAATTACAACAGATTGGACTGCAAACCTATTTGTACTGATGTAGGCTGAAAAATGTGGTTCGTCTTATTAAATCTTCTTTGTTAAGTAAATCTTTCTCTTTTTTTTTCCTTTACAGATTCCAACAAGATTATGGCAGAGCAGAGCCACATGCAAAAGCAGCTGGATTTACAGAATGGTAGCTTAGAGACAGGCTTTGTGGCGAATTCCCTTGAAAACGATTCCCAAAACATGATGGAGAGCCTGAGCCCGAAGAAATATTCTTCCAGTCTGAGATTTAAAACCAATGGAGACTATTCTGGTTCCTATTTAACCCTCTCACAACCTGTGCCTGCTAAAAGAAGCCCTTCTCCTTTGGGAACCAGTGTCAGAAGTAGCCCCTCCTTGGCCAAAATCCAGGGAACCAAGCAGTTCTCTTGCGATGCAAATGACAAAAATATTTCCGTGAAACCTCCCACCCCTTTACGCAGCCCTTCACCCTCTCTTAGTGGATATCCACTTGGGAGAACAGACTTTGATCATTTTACAGGCCGGGACACTGAAAGGTCCTTGAGGCTTTCAGAGAAGCCTCCCTATTCCAAATATAGCTCAAGGAATAAATCCCATGACAATGTCTACTTTCTCGGAGGGCTGGAAGGCCGAAAAGCATCTGGCTCACTCCTGACCATGTGGAATGGAAGTTCCCTGAGTGATACTGGCTCCTTGCCCATTGGTAGGTCAGGGGCAGCCAGCATGCCTTCAAGCCCAAAGCAAGCCAGGAAAATAAGCATCCAGGACAACCTGACACTTCAGCCCAAGTTGACCAGACACAAGGATCTGGCATCTGAAAACATCAGTTTAAGAACTAGGAAGTACTCGAGCAGCAGCCTGAGTCACATGGGTGCCTATAGCCGATCTCTCCCCAGGCTGCACAGAGCCACAGAGAATCAGCTGGCACCTCTCAGTTTGCCTCCAAGAAGCTCTCTGGGCAATTACAAACGAACGAAACTGGGGGAAAAGGATCTACCTCATAGCATCACAGACAATGACAATTACCTGAATTTTTCTTCTTTGAGCTCAGGAGCTTTACCCTATAAAACCTCTGCCTCTGAGGGCAATCCTTATGTAAGTTCCACCCTCAGCGTCCCTGCCAGTCCTCGAGTGGCTCGGAAGATGCTTCTGGCCTCCACCTCCTCCTGTACCTCTGATGACCTTGATAGGGCTTCCTACTTGGGGACCAGCCCAGGTCATTCATTCCCTCCCGGAGAGCTTGACAGAGCGTTTGCGGCCAGGAGGAACTTCTCATGTGGGTCTGTTGAGTTTGATGATGCAGATCTGGACAGCCTCAGACAGGCCTCAGGAACCCCCCAGCCTGTCCTTCGGGAACGGAAAAGCAGCATTAGCTCCATTTCAGGACGAGACGACCTGATGGATTATCACCGGCGGCAGAGGGAGGAGAGACTCAGGGAGCAGGAGATGGAGCGATTGGTAATCTTCTCATCTGACTTGACCTCACTGTTTCATTGAATAACTTCTTGGAGACAAACCCCAAGGATATATGCGTAGAATTTCCATGTGCACCAGCCACTGGTCCCTTCCTAGATTTCCTCCTGCTAACCTTCCTCTTCCCAGATCACTATTATTAGTCACAAATGGATAGTTTGAAGGCCTACATGTGCCTAATGATATATTAAGTTGCTCTGCAGGGGTCTCACAAGTATAAATTCTTGATAAATCTAACAAAGATAGCTGTGAATTTTATTGAATTACTTTAAACTTCTTACAAACTTCTGTCTTAAGACTATGAGGAAACACTGATTTGTATTATTTATGTCATCAAATTTGCATGTATATGCTATGATGGTAATAATCAGTGAAATGACAACTCATTGGAAATTAGGCAGTAAGTTTCTCTGTATAGCAAGTTGTCTGTAAAGTTGAAAGGTTGCCCCAATGGTGCTCAACCTTTTTTCTGCACTGTATATAGACACACACACACCATACTCCCTTCAGCCATGTCTTAATACATATAGTGACTCCAAACTACACATGCTCAAAAAAAATTACTGAGTTGTCTTTTTCTATGGATTTATGATTACTGTAAAAAATATTTAAAATAATAAGAAAAGAGGAAACAGGAGAGTCCCACTAATGAATAAGAACAAACTGCTGCATTTTTCTATTTTCTTTTAAGCATAATTTTTTAGGGTAAATACCTGTAATATTATTTTGATTCATTAATGATTCATGATTTCCCTAATGTGGGAAGCTGCAGGATGGTAAAGCTGATTTACAGAAGTATAGGAGTATCAAAAGTATTTTAGTTACTAAAAGAAAGTATGCTAGAATAAGATTTCTGAATCATATACAAAACTAGTTAATGCCCTACAGGACAATAAAATTGTAACTCCTGGATTATAATGAACAGAAACTTTTGCATCTATACAGGACAGAATTTGCTTGAAATTTTAGAAAAATAATTATTCACATCACTCACAGTTTTTGATAAGTTAATGTCTATCCTTACAGAGTTTCCAAATGTCCTAATCACTAATAGTGAATGAAAACAAATGTGTATACCCCTAGAGAATTTGGTATTCTGTGGGTGTATGTTAGATGGTGCTCCAGTATGGCAGTTCCTTTGTTATCATAAATAATCTCCAAAGATTTTTCATGATCACAAAAGGCATTGTATTTGGGCCTGATTCATTGACATAAGCTAGAAAAACTTTTAATTAGCATATAAAAGCCTTCTTGTATATAGATAGCAAATCTAGTGCTATACTGTACTGAACAACTGTCATTGATAAAGCCAGAGAATCAACTTCTATGATTTATTAAGTTACCTAGGAGAGCATTTCAATGGCTTCATCACTCCAGAGGTCTTCATTAAATGCTTTTATTTACTCTTCTGTTCTAAGGGTAGGAAACCAAACTCTTTATTTATTTATTTATTTTTATTTTTGGCTGTGTTGGGTCTTTCTTGCTACATGTGGGCTTTCTCTAGTTGAGGTGAGAGGGGCTACTCTTTGTTGTGGTGTGCAAGCTTGTCATTGTGGTGGCTTCTCTTGTTGCTGAGCAGGGGCTCTAGGCCAGCACGTGGGCTTGGTAGTTGTGGCTTGCAGCCTCTAGAGCACAGGCTCAGTAGTTGTGGCGCATAGGCTTAGTTGCTTTGCGGCACGTGGGATCTTCCTGGACCAGGGCTTGAACCCGTGTCCCCTGCATTGGCAGGAGGATTCTTAAGCACTGCGCCACCAGGGAAGTCCCAAAGTGGTTTCATCTTTAGCACTTATAAGAGTTGGTGAATTTTTCTTCCCTCTAGTTTTCCCAAATCTGCTAAGGTTCCTGGCTATCCAGCAAGTGACCTTTTTACTGCCTATAACGTTGGTGCCCTGTAAGCCACAAACAGGTCCTAGTTCAACTTCTTGGGAGAAGCTTTGGGTGTTAGCTTCAGATATGAAGTTATAACCCTTTCTCCTTAATAAGGGGCTTGTCATATCTGATGAAGTGAGGCAAATTTTTAAGTAAGACACTCTACATTTGGCTTCTGTTGTATTGTCTATTTGTCTGATTATATTCCAGTAAAATGGAGGACAGATTCTTATTGAGCCCATGCAAATAATGTTATTGCCATAAAAAGTTTCAGAAAAAAATGTTTCTTCCTGAATCTGAAGGACCAAGGAGAACAAACTAACATTAAAAGAATGTTTCATTTAGTTTGCAACATCGGAGTCAACTAAATTGATGGTTAGAGATAGATCAGCATGAATGCTAAAAGGGTTTTCCCCATCAGAAAGTAGAACATTAAGATAATGCCAAGAATTTTCCAAAATACATGTCCACATTCATAAATTAGATTTCCAGTTTCAGTTCAATCTGTTCTATGTAATTAATTCTTATTCCTCTAACCTTGGGTCATTAATTTGATTTCATGGAGTTATCTATTTCTGAACTAAAAGAAGTCCTGAAAATCTGATTTAGCCTCTAGTACTATCTCATACTTGTCTATGTAATGTCAGCTCTTCTGTCAGCCTCTGACCCTAAGTCCATTCTTTGAATATCAAGAGTGAAGAGTATCTGGTAAAGTTCTGTCCACGAGGCTCTGAGACTGTCTTTCTTTGTTAAAGGCACATCCTCACCTATAACTTAAGCAGAGTCTTTAGGAAAGCATGAGAGGAAATCGTGGACTACTGGGTGAGGGTAAGAGTAAGTGGCTATGGTTAATCTACAGTTAATTTAACAAACAGTTTCAGTGAGAAAGAGAATTTAAATCTTCTATTAGGCAATAAGATGTTGATCTTATTTTTTTTAATAAATTTATTTATTTTATTTATTTATTTTTGGCTGCGTTGGGTCTTCGTTGCTGTGCGCGGGCTTTCTCTAGTTGTGGCGAGAGGGGGCTACTCTTCGTTGTAGTGCGCGGGCTTCTCATTGCGGTGGCTTCTCTTGTTGTGGAGCATGGGCTCTAGGCACGCAGGCTTCAGTAGTTGTGGCATGCAGGCTGAGTAGTTGTGGCTCGTGGGCTCTAGAGCGCAGGCTCAGTAGATGTGGCACATGGGCTTAGTTGCTCCATGGCATGTGGGATCTTCGCGGACCAGGGCTTAAACCCATGTCCCTTGCATTGGCAGGCGGATTCTTAACCACTGAACCACCAGGGAAGCCCATGTTGGTCTTATTTAATCAGTGTTTCCCCTGAGGATGAGAACGTATTACAGAGAGTGAGGACGTTGACATATATCCAGGGCCTTTCTGTAAAGTATGCAATCACTGAACTTTATGTTATAATATTTTGCCTGTACAAAATTAGCCTAGGGAAGGCTGAGCTTCTCATTTGATTTGACAAATCTTCCTATGCATTTCTTGATAGTGTTGAGCTATTATCAAGAAGGGGCTTAACAAATAAACCTAATTATTTCTAGCATTCTTCTTTTTGTAAGGTTAAGAAAAAAATTCTTTGTCATTGCCCAATAGTCCTCTGGAAAAACTTAAAGACAGTTCAAATGTAGAAGGTATCTTGGAAAAAATTTGTTTTCCTAAATTTAGGGTCTGATCTTGGGAAGGTGAAATCAAATATTAATCAGAGATTATGTTATTTGAATAATATAGTGTTGTGGATGCCTGAGAAAAATGAATGCTCGCAGTTTGGTTATCTAATACAGTGAGAATAAGTTATTAGGTATAAACAATAAATCTTAAAATAATCAGATGAGGAGCTGTTTTTGGTCATTTTAAATATGCAAGTATATATTCTCAGTTAGGACAAGGCACAAAAGATTGCTCTTGTGAGATATTGAAACTCTTCTCTCTGGGCAGATTACAAAAAAATAAATAAATAAACTTTTGCTATCTTTTGTAAGCATAGGCTGATTTCTCCAAGATAAGTAAGTAATTTCAATACGAGATAATTGCGTTTTAGTTTTGCATTAATAGGATACTTCTCATAAAAAAATTACTTCATAAATAAACTCATCAATATTGTTCAAACTTTGTCAAAGTTTTAACATTTTATTACATCTTTACAGAATTAACTATTTGCAGATATTATAAAGTAAGTCAAATAAGCTCCTTTTCTGCAAATCTAAAAATTTTAATGTAAATTTATTTTATTAAAGTACAGTTGATTTACAGTATTGTATAACTTTCAGGTGTACAACATGGTGATTCAACATTTTTATAGATTATACTCCACCTAAAGTTAGTATAAGATATTGGCTGGGGGGGTGC